TTTTTTTTTTGAGGGGGGCATATTTTAATGAGTTAACGAGCTATATTAAACACCATGAGAATAATAATAATGAGTTTATTGGCCGTGATTGGACGTGTAAAACCAAACTAAAATAGCACAGAATGAATAGAATATCAGAATGTTTTTCCACCTTTAAATTTCTGTCAGCTGATGGACTATAACAGCTAATCTCTTTCCAGACTCGATACTGGCTAGTTTATAATACTTTGTCAACTTCAAGTTGACAACTAGGTTTATTGTAATGTTCGGTTCATTTTGTCACTTATGTAATGGATAATGGAAGTTTCAAAAACTTACCACATCCTCCTCCTCCTCCGCCTCCACCGCCGCCACATTCCTTCAGCACCACATTGTCTATAGCAGCATCGCCAGTGTAACTGCTTCCTCTTATTCCTTCGAATTTCAACTGAAAAACAAACAAACAAACAAACAAACAAAAATAAAACACAATAAATATGAGACTATGGAGCTCACAGTAAAAATATATCCTTAAGGAGCTCCACAAAGACTGTCAATTAATCAATAAGCACTAAGTTCTTATAATAATCACACTGTATTATGTTACGGTGTGAAAACACTAACTTTCAAAATAAAATTTTCAATGTCCATTTGTCGAGCTCTACTTGGTAATCTTATGATAAGAGAACTTGTCCTCTGCATGTTATGTAATGCAAATAAGAAAATGATCTCTCTCTCTCTCTCTCTTTCTCTCTCTCTCTCTCTCTCTCTCTCTCTCTCTCTCTCTCTCTCCCTCTCTCTCTCTATTTGATGTTTTTAACTCTTTAGAAAAAGCTATAACTGTCATTGATAATGCTCAACCACATTTCAGTTGTTTCATTACCTCACTGGCTCCAGGTTCGGTTATTTCAACCTTTGCTTGTTTCCACTGATCTCCTTGGTTACCTGTCTTCGTAAATATCTGCTTTTGCCCAACGTACACGTTAAGTGTCCCCATCGTTGCACCGTACATGTGATAGTAGAAAGACAAGCACTTTTTAGAGCTGAATGACAAACCACCTTTAACAAGCAGTGCATTGTCTCCTTTTGCCCTCGGAGAAGAAGTTTCGATGTACGCGTATTTTCCTGTCAGAAATAATAGTTATCGCATTTTCAGAAATAAACGTAATTGTAGTTAGAATTTTTCAGATTGGGAACTCGTCAATCGACCTTTAAATTGACATGTATGTAGCTTTACAGAACTCATATTAATATTAGTCGAGCTTTCGTCATGAGTTGACTAAATTTAAACCCTGAATTTTGTTGAGGCTTCCTCCATAGCAACTGTTTAAATTTCAGACCCAAGTGAGCTGGCCTAATTTTAATTTTCCACTATATTCAAAAATTAAATGATTTTATTTACTCGTTCGAGGCATAAGAATTGTTATTTAAGCTAAACGAAACCCAATAAAGCTCAATTTTCTCCATTCTGCAGAAAAAGTTGAAATTTTTAAGAAGTACAGAGCAATTTGAAAAAGGTTTGTTTTCCCGTTAAAGCACAGGTTTTCTGACTGAAAACAAGTTAATTATATTGTGTTAGGATGTGCGTAAATGTACATCCTGAGCATGTAGTTTTGGGGCCTTGGCTCATTAATTTGCTACCATCCTGGCTGCCTAAGTTTCAGCCGACTTTCAATCTCAGGAGCTAGAAATTAATGATTTTAAAATAGTCTTAATATATTTTTATTTTTTTCTTAGCATAGCACTACGTGAGCCCTATATATACCTATATATACCTGATCCAGAGACATCCTTTGTTGGTCCAGTTTGAAAAGATGGTGTCGATCCTGATTTAAAAGTCCAGTCAAACTTGTCGTTCAATGATTGAACGAATCCGCACTGATCGCTATCGAAGTCGCATCCAAATACTGTTAGAAAGAAAGGTCAAGATAGTGACAATTAAATTAAATATGCTTTACTTTATAGAATGAAAACTAGCGAAATTAATAACGAGCAACGTTTCACCGTCGTAATGACAACATTATCAATTCAAAATGTCAAGTGCTATTTTATTTGTGAATAAGAAGATAAAATAATACAACTTGAAAAATCCGGTAAAGTATTTATGAATGTAATTGCGTTGATGGAGGTCTCGGCGCATCTAGCTGACATAACCCGCACCACGCAGGTCAAATATAGCTATAAACAACGCATTGCTGGGTCACAATTGGTGGTTTTGGCTCGATCGTGCAGTTTAACTTCATGTTGGATTTTAATTGCATTCATGGATACTTAACGCATTTTTCAAGTTATATTTATATAACCTTATCCACAAATATCATCGTGCTGTCACGAGGACGGCGTAACGTTGTTCGACATTAATTTCGCAACTTTTCATTCTAAAATGTTTGTTTTAGCATGAATGATCGGGGAGATATTGCTAGACCAGAAAAACACTCATGCATAAGCACAATGTAATCGACCTATTTTGGTACTATTAGACTGTTAGAGACAATGACTAATTCAGTTTCTAACCCTTGCGTGTGTCTGCGACTCAAACAAAGTAACTGTGCTAGCATTTGATTAGTTCCTTAAATGAGTTATTAGTGAACACACGTGCGTAATTGATAAATGAGATGTTACTGTCACGCCAGTAAAATATAGTTAATGGAGTGCTACGTACGTTATCAATGAGCCGTCCATGACGGCATCACTTTCTATAGAGCTATTGAGCAGTTGTGTTCCAAAGGTCAGCAAACTCTAAGCTTTATTGTAGCTAAACCTAAAACATTGTAGCTTTGTTACCTTCAGAGCGTTATAAGTAACGAACCATGGCATTGGAGCAAAGTATTAAAGCACTATTCATGTTTAGGATTTTACACGTGGTAGGGTAAGCTTTTCGGTAGTACAGTCTTTTCTACTGGCTTACCAGCAGACGAACGTCTCCATATAAAAACTCGGACAAATGTTCAGAGTCCATTTTGAGTTCGTCTCAGCAACGTAGCTATATATCACTTCTTGTAATTGCTTGTATTTGATTAATAGCTCTGGTTCAATTGCAAGTCGCCACAGTTTACTTACATTCACTAGGAACAACGACATTAATTAATCACTTCAATCCTCATCCACTGATGCATTAACAGTCTTGAGATGGCTGAATCTCGAAGAACGTAGGAAATGTCATCGATGTATATATGCATACAAGTGT